CCTCGCAGGTAACTTGAGGTTTGAATGAACCATAATGAGAGTCAGGGTTTACTTCGGTCTGGCTTTTCCAACTTCAGTGGTAATATCAGGTTGTTTGCTTTTTTAATTCAATATTTTTGGACCTTTTCAAATTCCAAATGTATTTTTTTTTAGTTCAGCGAAACCTATTCTGCTTTGGGGACAAAGATCTGCTGGTCGTGGGGCTAACTGAAAATGACGTGGCTGTCTCCCAAGCCTCACCTCTAGGCTTACCATTACCAATTGCCAGTGAGCCGACTCCCATTGACGGGGTCAGGGTAGGAGTCAGGTATCAGGGTGGAAGAACTAGCACAGGGTCACGTTTTCCTTCCAAAGTGCCCCGAGTGGATTCAATCCTCTGATCGATCTCTCAGTTAGTACCGTAGTGCATCAGCGCGCTGCACCATGCCGGGCAGCCACGCGGTCAAGTGTGGCGCTGCTGACTGCATGCGGGGCTCTCTGGCGAACCCCCTGGCCACTCTGCGGGAGAAAGACGGGGCTTGCAGTCTGGGAAATCCACAGGGGCAGTTCTACCCTGTCCTCTAGCGTCACTATGAGCCCGAGTTGCCTGGATGGCAGCGAGTCTGAGTCTGGACCCCCCAGGGACTCTGATATGCACACCTTCTGGAAGAGATACTTGCTGACACCATTGATCTGTTCATCGATGTACTATCTTTCCATACAGGAAAAATATCAACGCGAACAGGAGAAACTGAGAGAAGAGTGGCAAAGGGCCAAGCAAGAGGCCGAGAGGGAGAATTCCAAGTACTTGAACGAGGTAGGGATGAGGCATCCCTTCTGGGTTCCCTCCCTCTCTGTACCTGGGTGCTGAAAAGATCTGAGAAATGGGAGCTAGTACTTTGACGTGGCTTTTGACCACACGTTCATCTTTTGTGGGTCATTGGAAAAGACAGTAAGCTCTGATTGGTTAGAATTTTGCTATCATGTTTTGCCCTTTTTCCTAGTTTCTCTGATACATCATTAAGTATTCGTACCGACAGAACCAAAGAAAACCTCTCTTCTGAGTTCCATCTCAGTCCCTCCAGAGCGACTGTTTTCATTGGTAACACCCCATGTGGTTTCAGGTGGACTTTGGGGTTGAGATCAAATAGGGACCAGCGAAAATAACCGTGAATGTGCCGGTACTTAGGTAGAATGACAGCGACAAACGGCTCTCCCCTGACCTTCTTTTCTCACTGCTCTTCTAGGAACTGATGGTCCTCAGTTCCAGTAGCATTTCCCTGACCCGGCGGGAGCCCAGTGCTGTCACCTGGGAAGCCACCTGGGGCAAAGAGTCCAAGTCTTCTGACAGGGAAGGAACCCGAGCAGGGGAGGAAGAGAGGAGCCAGCAGCCAGACGGAGGGGTGGACGAGGACCAGAGGAGGGAGCTGCAGGAAGAGCTCTTCCCGGAGAATGAGTGGAAGCTGAGGGAGGAGCAGGAGAGGCTGCAAGCCGAGGCCGAGGCCCAAAGGAGGCATCGGACTGAGATGGAAGAGCAGAGGCGTCAGGCGGAGATGGAAGCTCAGCAGAGGCGTCAGGCGGAGCTGATTGAAGAAGAGCAGAGGCGTCAGGCTGAGATTGAAGCTCAGCAGAGGCGTCAGGCGGAGCTGATTGAAGAAGAGCAGAGGCGTCAGGCGGAGATGGAAGCTCAGCAGAGGCGTCAGGCGGAGCTGATTGAAGAAGAGCAGAGGCGTCAGGCGGAGATGGAAGCACAGCAGAGGCGTCAGGCGGAGATGGAAGCTCAGCAGAGGCGTCAGGCGGAGGCCCAGGAGCAGAAGAGGCAACAGGCTAGCGAGCAGAAGCGCCAGGCAGAAGAACAGATGCGCCAAGCAGAAAGAGCGCGGGAGACTTCAGTGAAAATATACCAGTACAGAAGGTCTGTCCTCATTGCCAAGGGCTCCCATGATTGGAGTTTGGCTTAACCATCTCCGCTCCGCACAGCAGGGCACCTCCCTGCCCTTTCTGCTACCTCCCACCAATTCTGTAGTCTACATAAATGAACCCACTGGGTCCCAGGGGCTCTTTAAATCGCTCATCTGATCACATCCTTTTATTCTCCTCCTCCAAGCTCACCAAAGGGCTTACCAGCCAAACTCCTGGCCAGGGTGTAGAATTGGAGTTGACAAATTTGGAGACAGGAGAACCAATCCTGTCCCTCACAAAAACTAAAGCAGCGGTTCTCAACCTTCCTAATCGCGCGACCGTTTAATACAGTTCCTCATGTTGTGGTGGCCCCCCAACCATAAAATTATTTTCGTTGCTACATCATAACTGTCATTTTACGGCTGTTATGAATCAGGTGATCCCTGTGAAAGGGTCGTTAGACCCCCAAAGGGGTCGTGACCCACAGGTTGAGAACCACTGACCTAAACGATACTTGAGAGCCGTAAATGTGTTTCCACAAACAAATGAAATCACCGTTATTTGAATAATCCTGCTTAAAGTTTTTCCATTTTTCTTCAGAGCTACCTGTAAAGAAAGAGCCGGGGGTGTCAACCCCAGGTCTGGAAGGCCCGTCTGAGCTCTGTCATGACTCTCTTGTCTACCTAGCTTCCACCCTGACTTCCACACTTCCAGCCACACGGGGGTCCTCTTTGCTCCTTGAAAAGCCCCTACCTCTCCTGCTCCTAGACGTTTGCTCTTGGTGGTCCCTCGCCCTCCCTCACACATCTGCGGGTCCTGCTGACTCTATTTTTCAAGTCTCCTCCTCAGACTTTTCAGAATACATGCCTCTTGCCCACTCTTCTCTCCCCCTTCCGTTTTGTGTTGGGGATTTATTCGCTGGTCTATCAGCCCACATGCCCCAGTAAAGTGTACTACTCTGAAGGCATTGTTTTTAGGTCACGCACTTCAGTCGCCCCACCCTAGGCCACCAGTGGCACCGAGCAGTCACTGAGGGCACACTTGATGAGTGAATGAATGGGCGTGCATGTGAGTGAATGAATGGGCGGGCGAGTGAGTGAGTGAATGAATGGCAGATAGCGGTTGACAAGAGCAGATCTTAGGTTCTATAATGATGGGTGGAAACGCTGCATTTATTGTATTTTTAAATGAAACTCAGAGATTGTTTAGAAGACCAGTATTTTGGTATCTAATAGAAGGCCCCCTTTTTATTACATAGTCATACTGATGTATAATTCACATACACATCAGGAGCTCAGTCATATTAAAAAGCATTGTGCCCTAAGGGAAGGCCTTGCAGCCCAACGACAATGCCTCTGCTCCATCTCCTAGGCCTCTCGACTCCTACGATATGCCAGCGCACGGAGGAGACGGCTCAGGATTGCTTCCCGGTGACAGGTGTGTAGAACCTTTCATGATGGCTAGCAGGGTCTGGCCAGGGCATGGGAAGCGAAGTGTTTTCCCTTCATCAGTATGAGAAAGATGCTCTCACTGTGACATTTAAAATATGATATTTTGTGGTTTTTATAGTCAGTGCCAAGGGGGTAGCAAGTGGCTTCAGATGAGTCTTCCGAGACTTACCAGTTGCTTTGTCCTTTGTCTTTGGAGGGTACAAAGAGACTTTGCTGTCCACTGAGTCCAGTCCGACTCAGAGAAGCTCCAGCACAGGGTAGAACTTCCACGCTGGGTTTCAGAAACTTGTTGTTTGTTTACAGCAGTAGAAAGCCTCATCTTTCTACTACAGTGGGGGCTGGTGGTTTCGAACTGCTGATCTTCAGGTTAACAGCCCAACGTGCACACACTACACTACCAGGGCTCCATAAAGAACCCTGAAATAGATGAAATAACCTCTAGGCAGCCAGGGTTCTAGCATGTCCTAAAGGCTTCAAGGAGTATTGCTATGTAGCTGGTCGTAACAACATTCTCTTCTGTGAAAATCGAAGCTATGACCATCAATGAATTCTGCCTCTAGAGCTCTGACACTTTGTCATTATGTATTCCATGTGGTTTTTCATTGTTATATATTATTTTATACATGTATGTGTATATGCATGTGCATGCATACATATAATATCGCATGCTGCTTTGCATTTTTATTGGTTTGACTATCATGTTTTTGGAAGTCAGTGTGTGTAGGTGGAAGAGATCAACCTGTCTTGATTCGTCCTATTACTCAGGTGCTTTCAGAAGTTGATCAGGGCAGTAACTCTAGCACCCGTTTGGACCACCTGAGCAGCATTTGGGAGATTGTTTCAGACTAGTCAGTGGGATCCTAGGAGCCCTGGTGTCAGAGCAGATTATGTGTTGGGCTGCTCACATCAATGTTAGCAGTTCAAAACCACTAGCTGCTCCACAAGAGCAAGATGAGACTTTTCAAGAGTTACTGTCGTGGAAACCCACAGGAGCAGTTTGACCCTGTCCTATGAGTTAGAATGGCCCTGAGTGAGAATGGGACTCTAATGCTTGAGAAGCCGGCAGCACCACCTTTGGGCAGCATAAGGAAATAGAGCAAGTTGGTATCAGGGATTCTAAAGGCAATTAAGTCATACAGGCAGGGCTAAGACTGAGAATGCAAAGAGAGTCAAAGAAACTTGTAAAAAAAATTAAAAAGAAAAAAAAGATAGACTTAGTCCTGTGCTATTGGAAGAACTACCTTCACATGTTTGTATTTATTCCTATCTTCTAACTTTTCTCCGTTAGGGGTCTCACTGTTGTCAGGTACTTAGTGCAAATGAAAAATTACTTGAGTTGAAGAAGCAAGAACATGATGATGACAGCAATTGTACAGTTTTGCTTGATCTAATTTTACTATGGATTGTAATAATATCTGCAAGAGCTCCTAAGAAACTCTTTAGAAAAAAAAGAGATACAGCTCTCATCAGATATAGAAAATAATTCAAATGCTCTAATAAGCAATCTCTTTGCTATTTTCCTTCATAAATATGAAAACAATATATTACTCTTAATGTAAAAAAAATTCAAACATTCTGTTTTAGGAATAAATCCAGATCCACCACTGAATTGGATGGCTACCCAACAAACAAAAATGGTAAGTTGGTTTTTATTTCATATGTCTGTACTATATTGCCTATTGATGCCATCTCCTGCTGTAATCAGTGTTTTTAAGGTCAAGACCTTTCAGATTCATTAAGACCACACAGTTGAAATACTGAGTATTTTTAGCAGTTGGATTAAAAACAAAACAGGTGGTTATTCACTTTGTGCTTGTTTTGTTTGGCCTTAGAATGTAGAGCGTGTGAAGAGCTGAAAATGATTCTTTTATAACTAATGAAATATGTGGACATCTTGCGAAATGATGCTGGGACAGCATTGTGGAGTTGATCTCATCTTGTAGCCAGAGAGATTCGATGGGGGGAAACGTCTGTGGAATGTAGAGAACTTAAAAATTGTGTATGGATTTGAAACCATGCCCTGAATCGGCGAAACGTCAGAAAATTCTGACATGCCGATGATTTCTTTAACGAGGCAAAAATCACTTGGCACTTGAACCGGTTAGTGTAAAGTAACTGAAACGAGAGCCGAGATGGCGGGGGGTGGAAGCAGTGAGAATTGGTTCAGGTTGGCCATGCATGTGCTCCATGGTGCTAGGCAGGCCCTCCAGCCAAGGAAGCTCCAGGTGGGGCTGAGATGGACTGGGTGGATTGACCCAGCTCAGTGGGCAGGCATCTCCGTCCCAGCCAGTCAGTGCCACATCGGAAGTGAGAGCTCGTTCTGTTGTCAAAGTAAGACAAAAACCTCAACTTTCCCTTTGATATCTCAAACGTTTTGGAGGCGGCCAGAATTTCTTTTTTCTTTTTAAAGGGCTTACCTTTAGCCGACTCGTGTGTCAGTAGGCCAGGGTGGTCTGGTGGCAGCTGGTTTGTAACCACTGGTTACCAGAGCCTGTCGATCCCAACCCATCGTGACCCGAGGTGACAGTAGAAATGCCCTGTTGGCTCTGGTCTTACCAGAGGAGGATGGCACATCTTCCTCTCCGGTCGCGTGGCTGGTGGGTTCAAGTTGGCAGCCGAATCCTTGGCGAGTGCATCAGCAGAGCTCATAGCTTCTGATTAAAGCTGTTACCTTGATAATTTTTGTTAGGACGCTTGGTTATACGCTAACTCCTTTCTCTGAACACTTAGGACCTCCAATAAGTGGGCCCTAGTGGCCAGTGGATTTTGTTACTCTCCCCTTTCCAAGCCCTCGAATTGACGAGCCGGGTGTACACACAAATCCAGACACGCGTGGGAAACCCCGGGGGTGGCCTTGCTCATGGCTCTCTGGGCAATGAACTAGGGCAGCCACTCACTTGAAATGGGGAGGCACGAGAAGGGCAGGTCATCGGGAGATTGAGAGAAAAGACGTGTGTAGCCTCATGGCATTTCCCTCTTTAAACGAAGGGTGGGATGACACTTCAACATTCTAGATGTTTTATCCAAGCCAGAAATCCATCAGCAAACTGTGACATAGTTTTCAGGAGAAAACTTAAGTTCCCTCGCTGCATTTGATATACCAGTTCTTACTGCTCTGCTACTCAGGAGCTGTCATGTGAGATGACTTGGATATTGGTTTCCGGTCAAAGAAGCCCTTTCAGTAGCTCGAGTAAGTGTACACTCCACTCGTCTGGTCAAGCTTCGTGCCGAGATGATGTCTTGAGTTCTTGAATCATATTAGCAGGAGACACATGCACTCAGGTCTCCTCTCTTGTCTCCCCACATGGAGAAAGAAGAAAAGGCCCTGATCCCAGGTAGAGCTGCCCCAGCAAGCATTTGCTGGCATGGACTTGATAGGTCTAATTTAGGAAGAAAGGGAAGAGTAGAGGAAACATGATTTCCAGACCAGCGTTTGCAAACACACCATTGCTTCAACCACATCAGCCCTCCATAATTCCTTGATTGTGCTCTGTGTGGCCTTCTGGGACTGGCACTGGAATTTCCCAAAGCCAGAGGCTTGGAATTAAGTGCAAACCTAACATGCACAGCATTGTGTTTTGGACAGTGCCATCTTTGGGGATGTATCCATTAGCAATATTTGCTTGTTTGTTTGATGTGCAGATCCTAACACTTTTGATGTCTTGCGAATTTAGGAAGCAGTAAGTATTTGGACCGAACCTGGAGCACCAGCACTTCACAGAGGAGCTCCAAGAAGGAGCAGGGCCCCTCAGAAGCCGAGCTAGAGAGACAACAGATCCTTCAAGAGATGCGGAAGAGAACATCTCTACACAATGACAACAGCTGGATCCGACAGCGCAGCTCCAGTGTGAATAAAGAGCCCATCAGTCTGCCGGGAGGGATGAGAAGGTACTGTGGCAACTGACGAATCACGTCCTTCTCTTTGCTAGGAGACACCGGTCTCCAAGCACCCTGAGTCTTTGGGCAGAAGAGATGTCAGTCATTATCATTGCTCCTGCTGCCTACCTATGTTTTCATGGGAAGAAGGGAAGTAGAGAACAGGTTCTGAACATTAATTCTGCTCCAGACTCAGGCTACTTGGCCTGATTTGTCTGAATCCCCTCGCTTAATCTGGGGAACATGCTTTGAGACAGGGAGAGGGATGTAGCTTTTCCATCTTGGGGAAACTGTAGGTCAAGCCAGAAGACACTTGGCCAAGAACACACAGCTGTGAAGCCACAGTGCTGGAGGTGACACTCTGAAGTGGAGGGCAGACTCTTAAGTGTGTTATGCTGAGCTGGGCATTTTCTTGCCTCCTAAACATGAGCGAGATAATGAACCTCTGTTGGTTGATGGGAAAGTGGCCCGATGTCTCTCTTCACCCACTTTTCTGTTGTCCGTCCCCCAGAGAGGGGGTTATATGTAGACCATTGTGATCAGTTCCCCCTTTCGCTCCCACCTTCCCCTTACTCTCCTGGTATTGCTACTCTCATTATTGGTCCTGAGGGGTTTATCTGTCCTGGATGCCCTGTGTTTCCAGCTCTGATCTGTTCCAGTGTACCTCCTTTGGTCTAGCCAGATTTGTAAGGTAGGATTGTATCCCATATTTTTAAGAATGTTAAATATAAGAATGTATTTAAGCACTTACTGTAATTTGTATTCGATAGTTATACTTGCTATGTAAATTTGTAAACATACAAATAGGTGCTTCCACATGTGATGCAGGGGGATGTCCAGTGGATGCAGAGATCACAGGGGTAAATTTCTCGGGTGTGTCCATCTGGGTGTACTGGTGAAACAAATTCAGAGACACTCATGTGTATAAGAAAGAGGGTTTTATACAAGAGCAATTGAATATTAAAACATCCCAGCCTAGTCCAGATCAAGTCCATAAGTCTGATATTATCCCATATGTTTGATCCCAATCTATAAAACCCTCTTCAGACTCATGAAACACATGCAATGATGCTAAATGCAAGAAGATCACAGGCCAGTGGGTGGAAAGTCGTGAGTCCAGTGGCAGTGGAAGCATCTCAGCGCTGGCAGGGGTCTGCGCGTGGCTCCTCCAGCTCCAGGACTCTAGTGTAGCTCCAAGTGTTTGCTGCAATGTCTCCCAGGGAGTGAGCTTGAGTGAGCTTGTGTCCCGCCTCCCAAGAACTATTCATCTCCTCAGCGCCTCCAAATGAGGTGATCAAGCTGCGACCTGATTGACAGGCTAAACTCCATGCCTTCACTCTTCAGTCTCAAATTGACCACAGATTTGTGTAACTACCACATCTGGGGATCAGGGCAGCTGAGGTACAATATGTGTGAGGGGTTGGGGGTTTCTATTCAGAGGCTTCCAAAAGTTAATGGAAAAATTGTGTAAAGGATGATGGAATTTTCTCACAAGCTTTTTGAAGCCACCTTGTAATCGCTTTCTACGATATTTCTCTGTATTTTTACCTTTTCCTCTTGCGCATTATGATACATTACTATTAGAATTTTTAAAAGATAACAAACTTCTTTAAAAATCTGAGTTAGGTCCAGGTGTGTTCGCTGGCCCCCTTAAGACCCTCGCCCCTGGTCCTGAGGGAGATCTGGGGGCTGCCCCTCCTAGCCCAAGTCCATTCTTGGGCGGCTCGGCTTTACTCCAGTTGCTGATCTGTTATGCTCCATTCCCACACATGCTCCGCCATGTGTCACCATTGTCCCCTGTCTCCGTATGCTCCAGTTAGGGGACAACCTGTCTTGAGCTGTTGGTAGTCCCACAGTCCTCTCTGTGCCCCAGCAGCTCCATGCAGGGACCTCATCCTCTGGGCTTGGTGATCCCACATGGAGTCTAGGCCGACTGCCCCTTTCTCTGTGTCCTTTTCGGTTTGCTTCTGTCTGGGCATGGTAAGTCGGTTCCTTTCCCCCACCTGAAAGTCTAGTGTCGTTCTCTGCAGCACACATTTCCAGGGCAGAGGTAGTAAATAGATTGATCGGTGCTTATAGCCTACCTATTTTTGAGGAATCATTCTTTATATGTTTCAGGGGTGAATCTCTAGATAACCTGGATTTGCCAAGATCCAGTTCTTGGAGGCAAGCCCCTTGGCTCAATCAGCCTACAGGATTCCACACCGCTTCCTCCGAGCAAGATTTCAGCCGCCCACCGCCTCAGCTGTTGTCCACCTCAAACCGTGCCTACATGCGAAACCCAGCCTCCAGCTTACCCCCGCCTTCAGTGGGTTCCGTGAAGCCTGTGACCCCCAGCGTGTCTGCTGCCCCGTCCCCCACCCCGCGCAGCCATTCCCCTTTGGCCTCCCAGTCGGGGTCCCAGCAACGCAACAGGTGAGGTGCTTTGTGTTTCTCTGCTCCTTCTCATCCGCTCGCAGATGTTTGCCCCAAGACAGTTCCTCCGAGCTTGTCCGAGCTCTGCGATGACAAAGAAAGCCAACCATTTTTTCAGTGTGTTAATGACTGTGTGTGCTTTTGTAAAAGTCCAGTCAATAAGAAGGGTCGCATCATACTTTTCCATGCTACCCTAATGGCCTTTGTGGGTTTCTTGTGAAGCCACGGGAGACCTGGAAACCCTCGCCTTGGCGGCCATGGTCTCCTCCGTGTGTGGTCAGTGGCTTAGCTGGAGAGGCTCAGGAAGGGTCTGTATACCTCATCAAAGTAGACAGGTGCTCATGATTGCCTTTCACATGTATGGGTAAAAGCTATAGTGTCAAGTGTCTGCCGGTTTTGATAGTTGGTACACAAACACATTCCACAAGAAATGAGTATAAAAAGGAGGCATTAGATCCAAGCCAGACTGTGGAGCTTTTCCTCATCTGGGAGGAAAATGAATTCAGGGGATTAGAACTTACTTTTGATTACTAGAAAGATCCTTGCTTGTCTCTTCGCTGTTTTGCACCTATTTCGATCAACCTTTGTTCGTGCAGCTTTCCTGTGGGTAGTTAGTTTGTCGCCTAAGAGTTGTGGGTCTTCAGCAGAAGCCCACCTTTTGATAAGGAGCAAGGCACACGTAGTAACTGGGTTAGGCATTTAGGTCCGTGTAGCTTCCATGGAGATACTTTTGCCTCCAGTAACCACCCAGCTTCTACTTTCACCAGAGAGGAGCTCTGTTCACATGTCACTCTGCATGGGAAGCACTACCAAGTAAAAGGACAGTGCTGTAGTAATCATGCTGGGGTCTTTAGCATGTCAGATGTCTTGTTAAGTCTTGCCATTTTTGCCTCTAAGGAGCACTCTGGACATACTTCTTCCAAGTCAGATTGGTTGTCCTTTTAGCGGTCCATGTTTGCAGTCAAAATCAACCACCCTATGCACAACACCACAACACAACACAACACAACACTGCGCAGTCCTGCACCAGCCTCATGGTGGTTGTTCCCTTTGGACCCATTGCTGCAGCTACTGTGTCAAATCATCTCATAGAAGGCCTTCCTGTTGTTTGGCTGCCTCTCTACTTTACCGTGAATAATGTCCTTCTTCAGGGCCTGGTCTCTCCTGACAACTCGTCCATAGTACAAGACAAGGCTTGCCATCCTTGCCTCGAAGGAGCATTCTGGTTGGGCTTCGTCCCCGACAGAGTCGTTCGTTCGCCAGTCTGTGATGCTTTTCAGGGTTCTTCCACTGTACCTGGTCTTCTTTAGTCTTCCTTACTCGGTGTCCAGCTTTCACATGCGTTTGCAGTGCTTGAAAATACCCCGGCTGAGGTCAGGGGCACCGTAGTCCTCAAAAGAGCATCCTTGTTTTTCTCAAAAGGATCTTAATAAGAAGGCATATTGTACACCAACCCCACAACCATGTGGCACGTGCCAGGATCTAGACGGCACGTATCAAGGAGTTTAAATGGAGGGAAGAAGGAGAGAAGGGCAATGGAATAGAAGGCAGGCAGAGGAGAGGTTGTGCATTGATAGGTGGAGAGCTCCACTTGAGCTGAGGAGATCGAAGATGGCTTTGGTCTTTTCCCCCCTGAGATGGGGTCTTTCTGGGAGTCGGCCCTCTCAAATCATGCGCTCCACAGCTAAAGCTTACCGTGCTGTCCTGTGAGGATACAACCTCAGTGAGAAGTGGCCTTCACCTCACCACCCTATCTAGAAGAGGTGAAAAGAGCTGAATCCAAAATTAATTAGAACCTCTGCTGATCTATCCCCAGGGTAGCTGGGAGGCCATTTCCCCGTTATCCGCTCCAGAGGCAGAGGGCTGGGACAAGGTTGACATCCTTGTTTAACTAGAAGACTGCGTAAATAAGAAAGAGGGTGTGAGATAAAGCGGGCGGTGTTGGTTGCAGAGGGTTTCCACTGCCTCACCAAGGAAATGGGGCTGTGGCTTCGGTGGGACTAGAATCGTCTTAACAGGTTGGACTGGCAAGAAGAGACAGGCTGAGGGATTAGAGCAGAGGGAGCAGGTGATGGATAGGCGCAATCGCCGAGTGCAGAGATGATAAGCACTGGTGCAGAATAATGAACCAGCTGCCACCAAATGGTGCATAAAGTGAGTGAGTGGGTGGGTGGTGAGGGTCTCAGAGCTTCACTGGAGAACCTTCAAGGTCACGCAATCCTCAAAACTTGTGCGTTGGCTGGCTGGTGTCAGTGTTCCTCCCCCTGCTGTATAGAGCCTTTCTGACGTTCGCCTCTTTGTTCACACCCAAGTGCTGTTTCCAGGACAGCCCTGCGTGGCACAGGTGAGAGCCTTCCTCCCCTTCTCGTTCTGCGTCTAGGTCGGTCAGTGGGAAGCGAGTGTGTTCCTACTGCAGTAACATTCTGGGCAAGGGAGCCGCCATGATCATCGAGTCCCTGGGTCTGTGTTACCATTTACATTGTTTCAAGGTGAGACGGAGACCCACGGCCAGCGCCCCCCCAACAGCTTTGCTTGGAGTGCGCATGGCTTCGTGGCGAGCGCTGGGTGCGGGGCACGCACTAACCAGGGAGGTGGCTTCCGCATCTCTCTAGACACTTTGACTGACAGATTGCTGCGCTTTGCATAATCACAGACCTTCACCGAAAAGCTAATTTAGAAATGCCATGCACTTGCTCACTCTGATTTGTGCCAAGAGTCCATAAGAAACATGTGTGGTGCCCAAATCGTCTTCTCTCACATCCTCTGGAGGGGACTTACCAGAGTTCTTCACGAACTGGGGCATGCAATTCCAAAGCTCTGCTTTATCTAGGGAGAGGATATCAGAGAAAGGATGGCGAATACAGGACCCCTAGTGCACAGTGGGTGAAATCGGGCAGCTCACCCACCCACTGCTCCATGGGAGATTGAAAGTTTAGCACCTCCTATGGGAGCGGTCTACCACACCCTGTCAGGTGGCTCCCAGTCAGAATCCACTCCGTGCTGGTTTGCGTTTGTTTGGGGCGGGGCATGGCAAACATGCTCACTGGCACACCGACGGGTTGCGCACTGCGCCCATTAGAAAGAACCGAGGCGCCGACTGCTTGCTTCGCACTGTCTGTCCGTTGAGACAGACATCAGTTAGATTCTGGAACTTGCACTGGGCCTGAGAAGAAATGTCCTCCTAGATCCCAGAGTCCCGCAGACCACCGCCTGCTTCCGCATGTACAGCCCTGGCTTGGGTCTTTGCTGGGCAGAACAGAATGAGTCAGAATAGTTGGTGCTTGGCCCCATGTACAAGATACCCAGCCTGGAAGGGAGGACTCCTTGGGGGACATTTGCTAAGTCAGTGCAGGGGGGACCCGGGTGTGGCCCAGCACAGTGTGGGTAGCCAAAACCTCAGTCTTCATGCATTGTGGTGCCTTCTCGCCCGTGATGCCTTACAACCCCCCACCCCCACCCCATTCCTGCCTATGGGTTCCTCCCGGGACCAGATTTCCTTCAGCTGACCAGTGAATCATTTCCACTTTTAGGTATAGGTAGACCCATTCACCTGGCTGTTGCAATTGGCTGTAGTAATGCTTTAAAAATAACGTCTAGTCTGGCAGTGTTCATTTTAATCTACTAATGATCTTTTGGCCCCTTTCCTTTCCTTTTAAAAATATGTATTTTCTTTTGCTCTTGCTGAAATAGACCAAGGAGCTTAGAAGCTGCATTCTGCTGCTTACTCCTCTTCCTCCTCCTTCCCCCTACCTCCCCCGCCTCCTGAGGCCTGGCCTAAGCCCTACTGAACGGCCTGCTCACGGAAGCCCCCTTGTTTGTGTCCTGTCTCCAGTGCGTGGCCTGTGACTGTGACCTCGGAGGCTCTTCCTCAGGAGCCGAAGTCCGAATCCGAAACAGCCAGCTGTACTGCAACGACTGCTATCTCCGATTCAAATGTAAGAGAGCAGATCAGAGAGACCATTTCTTCCCTCTTACTGAGAACCCGGGTGCCCTTGCTTTGCCCTCGCCCTGCCGCCGGGGCCCCGGCGAGCCCCCCGCCTTAGAACTGCCGGCTTTTAGGACTGGTAGCTTCTCTCCTTGGAAGAGGGGTGCACAGTGAGGGGCCACCGCGCAGGATACCAGCCAAAGGAAGGGAGGGTGGGTGGTGGGGTCAGCCAGGGCCAAAGAGGGGACCGTTGTGTGAGAGCCAGGGCAGCCTCTGGTGCCATCGCCCGGGGTCTGCAAAGGCCGCGGACGATACCCTGGATGGTTAAAGTGACTTTTCCAAGGAGACCGGACGATGACTCTATGCTGGCAAAGGACGGCTTGTCCCTCCCCACCACTTTCAGCCCCGTGCTGCCCCTTCACAATGGACTCGGAGTACGTGGATTACGTAAAACAAGGCGTCCCAAACGCTCCGTTAGAGAACAAGCCATCAGTCTGTTCTCGGTGATCACCTGCAGCCACGTATCATTCCGGGTGGCTTACTTTTACAGACAGCACATTGAGTTCTAGTCATAGGGAATCCGGTTCCTTTGGGGGTTGGGGGGTAGGCGGTGGAGTTTTTCAGAAATGTCAAAGGCCACTTCACATCTGAGCCTATCTTCTATGCAAATGAGCTCCAAGACCGAGAGCAGCCGTATTGTCTCTAGCAACAGAAAGGCAACCATTAATTGCTGTTTATATTTTGAACCTTGATGCCGGTAACGTGTGTTTCTTCCTCACTGCAAAAAGGGTTATTGCAAGTGGTATCAGCAAAACAATTTGCTTTTGAACTCTGAGGTATTTATGCGGCCCTTGATGTGTACAGTGCTTCTGTCAATGGCTGAAGCCCGGTCAACTCTCTCTTATCTGTCCATGGGCTTGGAGACGTTCCCTCCAGCCGTCCTGGCCATCCCTGGATGCCGACATTGACGTTGGAGGAAGGCAAGGCTGGGCACACGATGGGGGAAGTGTGTGTATGTGTGTGCCTTTTTCTCTCTCATCAAATTCCAAAGCCAAACAGACTTGATTTTTGGAATCATTGGCTCGCTGCCCATGCCTGTGCTCTCCTCCAGTGCAAATAATAGAGAGTTGAGTGTCCTTTACTTTTATATCTGCAATCATTGCAGCTCCTTATTTTGGCAAACAAAGACTTGCAGAGCCCAAAGGCTGCAGATTTGCCTGGCTCTGACCTAAGAGTGGGTGGACATGGTTACTCTTGCTGCCTCGCGGGGCCATTCTCTGAGTGACGACTGTCTCCAGTATGCATCCCAGGTAATGACACCCAAGTGCTGTTGAATCTAAGTCCTTCTCCCTCTTCTCTCCCTCCTCGGTCAGCTGGACAGCCAACCGCCATGTGATGTAAGCCTTCATACGAAAGCGCTGTTGCAGATCGAAGAAGAGGTGGCTGCTGCTGACGTAGACCTATAAATACACGTTGTATGACTTTTGTTCTCCCTCATATTTTTAACACAATAACCGCCCCCTCCCCGGCACGGTTCTTTTTTGTTGCCTCCTTAGATGACAGAGAAGCACTGTATTCCTGAGACAACCTGTGTTATTATTGTTGTTTATTTATACGAAGGTAATTACGTGTGGGTGTTGGGGGGAGGGGAAGTGCAGTATTTACTTTTTTCTTTTTTTTGCATTCATTATATTAAAAGTACAAAGGAAAAAAGATTTTCAAAATATTTTTGAGGCCGATCATGAATTTAGTTTGACTTTCTTGTGGTGTTCTGAAGAGGGTAATTTTTTGTTTTGTTTAAAAGTCTTTAAGCCTTCTTGGAGATAGTTAATATAAATTTGGGACTGCATTTGCTTTGTTTATTATAATGTATTCTAATTCATGCAGAACCAGATGGAGAATTTTGTCAAATCCCACTCCCAAATTTGTTTTTTGTATCCCCCCCCCAGCGTATGCAATATTATGATTTAAAGAAAAATTAGCTCATGTAACATTTTTTTGGCTTAATGAGGGGAGCTGTATTTTCTTTACCATAATTGTTAAGTAATCATCAACAAGAAGCATCTTTTGTTCAGTAACCAAAATATAACCCTGGTTTGTGTACCTGAAGGTTTTCTCCAGAAACTAGTAAGCCTCTTTGTTCAATTGCTTTTGTAAATAAAACCGAGGATGCATTTAAAGCGTGCTTTCTTCGTGTGTGTCTCCCTTTCATATCTGATTGTTCTTAATGATAATGGATTTTCTTGATAATGTGTACTAGCTAAAGCTTTCCAAAGGGAGGAGTTGACAAAGAATGAAAAACGACAGACACGCACACAGCGTACGTACAACAGGACAATTCTTGACATCTTGACAGCGGCCACCAGGATCTTGACATTGTTTTTCTCCACAGTTATGAACAGGAGCTTCCTTTATTGGTAGTTTTGATCCGACGTGATGCTTTTGGACACTGTGTGTTTTTGTGGTACGAGGGGGCGTCAGGGGTACACTGTGGCCACATTGGCACAAAATCCCAACGGCGGGGAAGCCTGGCGATCAAAGAAGAAAGTGAATTGAGAAAGTGTCGAGCAACAGAAACCTAATGCGGCCCTGAAATCTGGACGGAATGAGAAAGGCAGCACACTTTAGCGTGACCACAGGAGCGATATAAACTTGCCCGACTCCTTCAAGATAATCAAAGGGTGCATAATCCTAGGAAATAAGAATTGTGTTGAAGTGAACAATTAAGAACCTTTCATGTGAGATAAAATTAAGCTCCCGTTTTCTGTTGTTCTTAATCTCTGTTATTATAACAATGTGTGTTTATGGAGGGACCTTTAGCAAGCACCATTTAGAGAAGCTAGATCTCAACCCCACATCCAAAGGTAAGAACTCTGATGTGCACTCTTCCTACATAGGGTTATTTATCTGTCTTAATGTAAGATTGTGAATTTTCCTTTCAGAGTTATTTCTTTTTATCAGTGGCTGAATCATACACTATGATGAGACCCTTCTGATATTAGTAGGTGATTCTAGCGGCTGTATCTGTTATTTCTAAGATTTGTTGATGTACTCTTTCTGGTCTTAGCTCTGGCTTTGTCTTTACGTTAGATTCCTAGACATGAGATAGTTGGCCCAAAGGTCATGCATGTGCAGGCTCTCGTGCCTCCTGCTGCCTTGTTTGGTTCTTAAGAAGCACCTATCGCTCTTGTCCATCTCACCGCATGGTCACCGCATGGAATTTCCCCGCCTTGCTCTCTGCGTCACATGGAGCATTCCTCAGGCTGCATCGGCTGGCTGACGAATGACTAAGCAGTGCGGCTTCACCTTCTGCCTTTTGAATGCTAAGTGCGCCAGGGGTGGGCGTTACTTCTCGCATGTGCTCTCAGTGTGCCTACGCACTGTCCTCCTCTGACCTGTATCTCGCTTCATGTATGCCTTTCGTCTTTTCATTTGAATCTGTTGATTTCTCTACTCATTCTCTACTCTCCCTAGGATTTTTCCCCTCTTGTTTCTCACATTTTCTTGTCTTGTGAGGAAACTTCGTTAGTGCTGGTTTCAGAGCATTTCCCCCCTCAGACACTGGTTCTGGAGCACCTTAGTTTGATCTCCCCAAAGGTGTGTGTGACTTCATCCGGGAAACAAAGGAGGATGCCACGATTCTCACTCGAACCTGCGTGCCAGGCTCTGCTCTAGGAACCGTAGACGCAGCAGTGGATAGACAGAGCCTTGGCTCTGATGGAATTTCGTTTCTAATGGGGGTAGAAAACCTCCACGAAGCACTTGATGGTGCAGATCGACCTGGAGAACATTTTGCTGAGTGAAATTAACCAATCTCTAAAGGGCGAATGTCGTAAAGACCATTGCTATAAGGGAAAACAAGACAGTCTCCCCGACAACAGAGAATAGACTTTAGAGCAGCGGTTCTTCACCGGGGGTCGTGACCCCTTTGGGGGAGTCAAATGACCCTTTTTACAGGGGTCACCTAAGACCATATTTCATGCAGATACATCCACAAACAGGGTCACCATAACATGAGGAACTGTATTATAGGGTCGCCGCATTAGGAAGGTTGAGAACCACTGCTTTAGAGGTTACCTACTCAGGAGGCATCGAGGCCAAGGGAGGATGTGTATAAGAAAGAGCTTTATATAAAAGAGCTATTGTAGATTGAGAAAACAGCCCAGTCCAGATCAAGTCCATAAGTTTGATATTAGCCCACATGTCTGATACCAATCTATAAATTCCTCTTCAGACTCACGAAACACATGCAATAATGCCGAATGCAGGAAGATCACTGGCCAGTGGGTGGAAAGTCTTGTGGATCCAGTGGCAGTGGAAATATCTCAATACTGTCAGAGGTCTCCACGTGGCTGCTCCAGGGCTCTGGCTGCATCAGTGTAGCTCCATATCGCTTGTCAGGAATGTCTCTCAGGGATTGAGTATCTGGCCTCCAGCAAGCTATTTCTCTCCATGGTGCCTCCAAATGAGGTAATCAAGCTGTGACCTGATTGACAGGCTAAACTCCACCCCCTTCACAAGTCGACACCAGATTATGTAACTCCCACAGAGGCAGGATGAAGCAGTGGGCTAGGGGTTGTAATGGGCAGCTGAAGGGGAAGACAATCCACAAGAAAAACCTAGAGATGGGGGGAGAGTGCAGGCTGTTCCGGGATTTGGTAAATGGGTTTTTGGATTAGAAATTGATGCTCTGGAATGTAAAACCCTCACCTAACTCACAAAAAGAAACATTGTTGGCAAAAATAGCCCACAGGTGTGGTGCTAAGGTCAATAAGAGAATACACACTTTGGCTCCAGCGGGTTCAAGAGTGCTGAAAACAGAGGCTAAGGGCCCTTTTTATCTAGGATAACCTCCGAGCCAAAGCCTGAAGGAATGAGGAAGCTAACCACCTGGGTATTTATTTGAGGGGAAAAACATTCCAGGTGTAGGGAATGAGCACAATTCCTGAGGCAGGAGACTTCTGGGTATGTTCAAGGAGCGATCATGTGCCTGGAATGGAATGAGGGTGAGTGGAAGGAGGCCACAGGTCAGTAGACTTTGGCTACCTGCCTGGCAAACACATTTTATAGTTGGTTTTAGAAACAAGGGAAGGTTAAATAATCAGACCTCCACGTGGAGGTGTGGAGTGGACAGTCGACCATGCCGGTATAGAATTCAAGTAAGAAGTCCAGGCTGGAAATACAGTTGTCTCATTCTCATAGTATAAATGGAATTTAAGCTAAGCAGGGCATCACCTGATCTCCATTACAGAGAAGATGTCCAAGCACAGAGAATGCTCTAGCATTAGAGGTCAGAGATGCAGAAAAGTACCCATTCAGCAGGAGAAGAACCAAGACTCCGGTACCTGCGGAGTCAAGTCAAAGTCTTTCTGGAGGATGGGCGGATGTGTCAAATGGCAACCAGCCCAGGGGTCCGGTAAATGAGATCTGAGGTGATAGTTGGAGCCCAAATGCGGTATGGATTTCTCTGACCAAGCACGATGGCCTTCCTGTATGCAATAGCTAATCCAATTGGCCGTGCCTGCAAACGTTAACTGCATGAGACTGATTTTTGTGCAGTGGTGGTATGCTGACTTCATAGAGCCGCCAGTGCACGGGAGAGTCCGTCCCCTCTGCAGTCTTGAGTACACGGACTTTGGGGCTTAGCCCACAATCCAGGTCATTTTACTTCATGTTCCCCAAACCAGACTCCCTGCCATTGAGTCAGAGTGACCCTATAGCATAGGGCAGAACTGCGCCTGTGCGTTTCTGAGAATTGGAACTCTTTATAGGAATAAAAAGTCGTCTTTCTCCCACGGAGTGGCTGGTGGTTTCCACCGGCTGACCTGGCATTGGTAACCCCACATGTAATCCTGGCTCCCCCTGCACTCCTCATTTCACGTTCCCTTAAAGTATATATCTTTGTTCTGCTTCATGGCAGCTGATAAAATTCTATCCCCACCCCTCTAGGATTTTGGCATGGGATTGATGGTTTTAGATGGAAGTGTTAAGGATTTGCTGACTCTGCAGTGGATGCTATTTTCAGCGTGGTATCTTGCTTCTGGGAGAGAGGGGCGGAGTCAGCCGGAAAGAAAAAGATGGCATCGTAGCTTGTGAAACGCACTGTCCACAAGTCAGTTCTGCTTCATAGCAACCCTAGAGGGCAGGCTAGAACTGCCCCTTTGAGTTTCCAAAGCCGTAAGTCTTACCTTTCTCCCTTGGATCGGCTTACGGTTTCCATGGCTGACCTTTCCGTTAGCAGCCCAACACACAAGCCACTCTACCACCAAGGCTCACGAGCTGCTTTGTGTTAGGATGGTGGCACCGTTATGAAATGGAGCCTGGTGATGTTTGCATAAGATGACGAATGTAACTAACGTCACTGACCTGTACATGTGAAAGAATATTGAACTAGCAAACATCTTGTTCCTATAGATATATCACAATCAAAATCAACTGCCTCTCGGATGCCATATTAATGCATAAGCCAGTTCTGTGCTTCGAAATGTCACAATGTATGCTGGATCCTTCTTCTTCATCCCCTTGAGTTCCAGAGGCAATTCGCATGCAAAGACATTGTCTGGCCGGCTGTTTCTCCAGTGCATACATCTGAGAATTACCTGGAAGATTGATGGTCCTTCTTTTAGCATGCCAAGCCCATTGGGAATCTTGACAACAGGTGGGGATCAAATATCATTCCTTCGTTTCTGTTGAAACTTCCTCCTGCGACTCAGTTGAATTGAGTTTAGCTAGTGGGTCACCGGAACAGAGCAGCTCTTTGTGCTCCGTGCTGGTGGGATGGCCCCTTGGACAGAGAAGAGTGTGTGTGGCCTGCGCAGAGGCAGCTGCTCAGAAGGCTCAAGAAGGCAGGCCATGTGTGAGTGGCAGTGTGTGACATCAATCTGTGCCTCAGCAGGTTGTGCTGTTCACTTTCTCCCATGGGGAGGAGACGGGGGACAGCGTAGAGGGAGCAGTCCTTTGCTCCCGAATTTCTGAGCAAGCAAATGGTGTCGTTTTATGAGTTGACTTGAATGTAAGGAAGGGAAGACGATGATTTAATCCCCATGTTCTGGATTAAGGAGCCCCCGTGCTGATAGGGCTGCAAACCACAAGGTCAGCAGTTTGAACCCACCAGCTGATCTGTGGGAGCAAGATGACGTAAGCTTGCTATGAGTTGAAATTGGATGGCAGTGAGGTTGGTTATGT